GGGGGAGGGGCGGCAGCCACTGCTACTCACGGGGATGCTGCAGCAGCGACCTTCATGGACATGGAGCTGTTGGAGCGAGGCCAGAGGAGGCCATGAAGATGATCCGAGGGCTGGAGCACCTCTGCTATGGAAATGGGCTGAGAGAGTTGGGGGTGTTCAGCCTGGAGAAGAGAAGGCTCCCAGGAGACCTTTCAAGCAGCCTGCCAGTACCTAAAGGGGCTACAAGAAAGCTGGAGAAGGACTTTGGACAAGGGCGTGTAGTGACAGGACACGGGGCAATGGCTTTAAACTGAAAGAGGGGAGATTTCGACGGGATCTAAGGAAGAAATTCTTCCCTCTGAGGGTGGTGAGGCACTGGAGCAGGTTGCCCAGAGAAGCTGTGGCTGGCCCCCTCCCTGGAAGGGTTCAAGTGGATGAGGCTTTGAGCAACCTGGAGTAGTGGAAGGTGTCTCTGCCCATGGCAGGGGGGTTGGAACTGGATGATTTTGAAGATCCCTTCCAACCCAAACCATTCTATGACTCTGTGATTCACAGGGCACACAGCCTTTCTCAGCCACTTTCACCGGGGACACTACTCTCACCAGCACGCCGATGAGCAGCCAGAGTAGAAACGTGGCCCACACAGCTCTCTGTCCTCCCACACCAGACATGAGTGCTGGAAGGGACAGCAGCAAGGAACTGGCACTCTCTGGAAGTTACTGCCACACTTACTGATCCCCCTTTTCTCTGAGCCGCGCCGGAGGACGCGTGCACCGCACACCACCATGTATGATGCCATCTCACAGTCACTTGCTCACTGTTTCCTGTAACAGGAATACTGTTTTATTTTTTCTGTCATCCTAATTTGACTGTTCCTCCCATTTTCCTCCACTACATTCTATGCATTTGTGACAAACAAGAACTACCACCACCCGATACACCATTTTAAAGGTCTGAAATAGTACACAGTGTATTTTGCATACTTTTATTCTCTTAAGTATTAAAATCCAGACATTGCCTTATGACAAACGTTATAATAAGAACAGAAAAATAACGAAATCTCAGTCTCTTGGCAAACTTGCAAGAAGTCAAACATACCAACATATCTCCACAGTCACTGCAAAAACGCCTTCCAGAGGAGACCAGCAATCACAACCGCGGACCTTGAAGGTCTCCACCTGGCACCAACCCTCCGGCTGCCTGGCCACAGCGCCTGGGGACGCACCTCCAAACCAGGGGCTGCTTTCCGACTGGATTACACCAGCGTGGCCGGGACTGCGAGCTCCGATCACCACCATATTCCTACCACGTTAGGCAGAAAAATGTTAAAAAAAGATCCTTCTTTTAGCACAATTCGCAGGAGCTGTGGTTTGTGTATTGTGCTTCCTCTTCCTCTAGATTTCTCATAGCATCAGAGAGGACATTTGGAATGGTCTTCTTCCCTGATAAACTCCATTTTGCAGGTCAAAAAGATTTCTGGGGACAGTGATCACTGTCAACAATTCCTGACCCAGTAATTGCATTGTATATTTATTCATCAAGCAGCTGCATTAATTTCCATAAATAGCTAAAATGTGCACTCAGTACTACAGAACCTTCATTATACTCGGGGTGGAAAAAAAAAAAAGAAACTTGTAAATATTATTCTTACGTTCAGTAAAGCAGTCATGAACTTCAAAATTTGACAGCTGAGTTACAGAAGTCAAGTAAAAGTGCCTTAATTATATTGGAAGGGTTACAAATGACAGCATAAGAGCTTGCACACAGAAGAAACTGAGCATTTTTAATGGTTTATGCAACTTTCCTTCTGCGTCTTTCACCAAGACAACATGATCTGCAAACTGAGAAAGTTCAAAACTTTTCTCTGCTTCACCAAATCAATCCTTATGATACACAACTCCAAAACCTGTATTTTGCTGTCTCTCACATAGGTCTCCCAGCAAGAGAAGAGGCCCTGTGCCTGAGAATGGAAGGCGCTCTAGACCCTTAACAAGGAGCACCAGAGCAGCCAAATCAAGAGGTAAGGACATGCCATTGCTACTGACAGACACACAGAGCCCAGCTCGGACACTGCCCATGGGCAGAGAACCGTTTCAAATACGGCGTGTTACGTTAAATAAAAACAACTGTTGTCACTGATGCTTTCCAGTTGTCTGAGTGGATGGTTGAAGGATACAGAGGGAAAAGTGAAGATCCTTCTAGTGTTAGTAATATCACCCCAAACCTTACTCATTACCACCTCCTAATCCTACCGCACCTATCCACATGGTAGTTTTAACACCTGCTCTCCACCATCTTTTTCCTTTAAAAACCCAACCAAACAAAAATAAATGCCTGGATCACTAGAGCTTAAACATAAAGACAGGATGGATGGCAGGTCTTGTCATGGGAGAACCACCAGGAAATTAATTGCAGGCTTTGGGTGTGAACCCTGATAGCACATGCTCCATCGCTCCGCTTATCCATCCAAGTTCCAGAACAGCACCTAAGCTGGTCAGCCTTTACAGAGCTGCAAAAAGACATACAGAAAGCAAATATCAAAGGAAACAATTTTACCTATTTAAAAGAAAATTTTCTGTTTCTAGTTACTGCAAGGTTGCATTCAGGTTCCAATCTGCTACATGGAGGCATCAGCTACTGACTCTGAATTGTGGCAACAAGGAAATAGTTTATTTTCTAAAAGACGGGGTTGGTTTTTTTCCCAGCTTCATGGCATGTGTTTTCCAGTTGCCTAGGTTTTCATTTGCCAAATACAGCAGCATTGTATCTATATCTGTTCTGCCCTCCCTACAGAGGATAATCCACCCCTGTAAACATTCTGTCAAAGAAGAGCAGACAGCAGATGTGATTTCTTCTTGGAGATGCTCTAAAATTCAAATCCAAGTGACTTGAGGGGACAGTTCCAGTTTCTGCATTATGCTCACAGACAGACACGCTCCTGTATGTCGTGCTACTAAAAGCAAACGTCTAAAGCAGACTGTGCTAGCTGCACATAAGGCTTTCTTTCAAGCAAACATTAGAAACTACTGGCATACACTAGATACCCCAAGGCCTGACTAACAGCAGAGCACTTCCTACGCCTGAATACGAAACAGGACGCTTGTACAACGAACATTCATATCCCTCACAGGCTTCCGGGTAAACCACTGCTAAAACTACATCCTGGTCCTTAAGGGTTAATGAGATGTATTTAGAGCCACGAAATCCCTGTGGCTTGGTCCCCCTCCTAGTTCACAGCCCGTAGCTTACACCCGCAGGGAAGGGGCAGCACAGGGCTTGGAGACACGGATGAAAGTCGGAGAAGCAAAGGGATCCTCCGCTCAGAACAGCAGTAAGCCCTTGAACATCACCAAAAGTGAAATGGCACCACTTGGAAAACACTAACTGTGCGTTCCTGCTGGACACGATAACGTGGTGATTTCTGAGAAGCATGCCACGTTTATTTTTAAGTAAGAGCAGAAATCTTTTTCTAATTAATGGAAAGCGCAGCACTGTTTTATCCTACTGAGACAATCTTTTCTCTGCTTCTAGGAACAAAGATATTTTAAGATGTTCAACTCCAGCACAAACTCTGTGGGAAACAACTGCAGTCACAGCACAATAATAACTAAGATGGTCATTCCCCTGGTCTACTTCTTCATTTTCATAGTAGGAATGACCGGTGTGCCGGCATGGATCTTCCTGTACGTTTCCAGCAACAAGAGTTTTATTGTCTATCTCAAAAACATCGTTGTTGCCGATCTCCTCATGAGCCTGACGTTTCCCTTCAAAATTCTTGCCGACTCACAAATTGCACCTCCACAGCTGAACACGTTTGTGTGCAGATACTCTGCTGTTGTTTTCTACACAAACATGTACATCGGGATAACGTTTTTTGGCCTCATAGGTTTTGACAGATACTACAAAATTGTAAAGCCTTTATTCACCTCCTTTGTTCACACAGTTAACTACAGTAAGGGTATCTCTATAATAATATGGATATTGTTAATGATTATATCATTTCCAAACATGATTTTAACTACTGAAAACACTAACCAAAATTATTCCCAAGAATGTATAGCTCTTAAAAGTGAGCTTGGCAGACAGTGGCACGAGGCGTCAAGTTATATCTGCATAGGGATTTTCTGGATTGTTTTTCTTTTCTTTATCATTTTTTACACTTCCATATCAAAAAAAATATATAACTCTCACAAAAAATTCAGAAGGAACTCAGATGCGACCAAGAGGAAAAGCAGCCGTAACATATTCAGTATCATGTTAGTATTTGTCATTTGCTTTGTACCCTATCACCTCTGCAGAATACCATACACTCTAAGCCAAACCAGCTCACAATTCAACTGCCAGTCAAAAAAAACTCTGTACTACACAAAGGAGTTTACTCTCATCCTGTCTGCTGCAAATGTGTGCCTTGATCCCTTTATTTATTTTTTCCTCTGCCCACCTTTTAAAGAAAAGCTGTATCAAAAACTGCATCTCAAGCTGAAAACTTCAAGTGACGTTGAAATTTCTAAATCCAGAAGATCAGATACACCTCGGGAAAGTATAAATATAGTCTAAGTTCGAGTCTGTAAAATAACTCACTTATGAAAGTCATTCAAGAATACAAATGTCTCAAAGAGACTGAACAATGAGGACCAGCAATAAAACAGAAAAAAGGTTGCAGCATAAAAGGCCAAGTAGTGTTTCTCTATATAAAAACACGATTGCAAGTTGCCAATATATTCACTACGTGCTATTTCGGCTGACGCTACCATTGCACAACGCTGTGATATGACCTGTCCAGATCTAAAGAAAGAGAGAGGAGTGACTGGAACAAGACATTCTGGAGCTCCAGGCCGTGGTTCTGCGAACGGATTATGCAACAGACCCAATAACCCAACTGATTTGCTGCTGTTTCTCATGAAGCCAGGCACGACACACACACTGATCAACACGCCAGTCTGAAGGGGCTGGGAACAACCTGTCAGCCCACCTGGACTGGCACAGACCCCTCAGCCAACTCGAGGAGGTTCAGCACGAGTTGCTCTAACGTGGCCTCCACCAGCCCAGAAAAAGCAGAGACCCTGAGAGGAAGCGTTCCCGGGTATCCACCAGCTCACAAAGCAAAGCACTGAAGGCACCGTGCAGCTTCTGGAAGGATTCTAGTCCAACAATTGGGGGAAGAAAAAGATTAGGGAAGAAAAAAAAAAAAGAGAAAGAAAAATACATATTGAATCCTCAAAGATCTGCACAGAGCCTAAAAAGCCCTTGGTAAAATTTCTATGTGTATGTGTATATATTTTTATATATATATATATATGATTTCTTAAGGGAAACATTCTACAAAATTAAGAATTAAACATGACTATTTGTCACCCTTCGGCACCAAATGTCAGAGTACTTCTATAAATGTGATGTTCAATATAAGCAAGTGTTTAAAGAGGATCCTTCCATAAACTAAACAGCACAGTTACACTGTGCCATATTGCTGAGGATTCTCCTGAAATAACGCGGAGCACACCGAAAATGTTCACACTAAACTGACTGAGGTTTTAGTAACTCCCTCTGCATTTTGCAGAAGGATGTGAGAACGCTCAAGGGGCTGCCTGAAAACGCAAACGTGCAGCTGTCTAGAAACTGGGGTATATTTAAATCCAGAAAGAATGGTTTCTTGGTCCTCCCATGCTTTCGGCACCGTGATGAAACATTTCTCTCTGTACAAAGGTAACAGCTGAAAGCCACCAACCTACACATAAATATAATCTCTATTTTAACTGTACTTTTCAGTGCAGCCTTTTTGTTGGGTCGGGGGTTTTTTGATGGATTTTATCATTGCACAGGGAAAACACACCAGTGCATAAGGCACCCACAAAAGCTTTCAGGCAATGGCTCTGCAAGCTGAATGCTTTCATTTTACTTAACAAAAAGACACAGGAACAGAAATAACATGCACTTCACCTTTCTGCCACTGTGTTTCATTTCAGTCCTAACAGATAATCTCTCAGGGTGAAAGATTTTTAAACACACGGGCTTTGAACCTTCTCCAAGGCTGTGGGTAACTTCTCTTGGTCCGGGAGCACCGATCTGCAGTAACAGTATTCCACCATCACACAGGATTATGTTTAAACTAAAGGACCAGACAGCTCTTCAAACTGCCTGCGGAGTTTAAACGCACCCCTGTGGAGGGTATTTACCTCCACTTGCTTCCCGCTTGCCTGAAGAGCAGTCCCACCTCAAACCCACAGGGCACCCAACACCCAGGGGAGCCTGGATGCTCCTCCGAGTGCAGGGGCTGGGGGATCCTCACCCGCACCAGCCCTTGGGGGCTGCAGGAGAACGCTGCGTTTCGGTTGTGTTTTTTAAAGAAAATACATAAAAGATTATTTACATGATTCTTTCAGAGCTCCCTGACTCTTGTCAAACTGAGACTTCACAGGCTCTTCCCTCCAAGCAAGAGAAACAGCCTGCAGGGGAAGGGAATCTGCTGCTTTGTGGAAGATTTTTTGTCATTTATGGCAAAAACATTTAGTTCCTTACATGGCATGGCTTGGTATTTGCCTATGTAAATCTAAATAATTGCAGCTGTGAAAGCACAGTGGCATACAGAGATGAGAACACTTCCACAATATATATTTGAACAACTTTAATTACTTTGCAAGCTTTGGAAAAAATATTTATATTGTAAAATTTTTTCCTCACTCCACCAGATTACTGATATTAGAACAACAAAAATCTGCATTAGGTACTCAGGGGAAAGTATGCTGACCAACACACTTCTGAAAGAGACAGTAGATCTCTAGCTTTTGGTTCGCTCTGAAGTGGGATGGAAAGGTATGGGGCCAATTTTTTTTCTCCACTGGGTAAGTGAATTCTTTCACCCCTTTCCCAGTGCATCACGTATCCCGATATACCCCACCAGCTCCTCAGACGCCCACAAGTCGTGTAGTCACACGAAGTACCAGCTCTTGCCTTGTCAACCTACCACCTGGAGAACTTCCCTAAAATTCTTGCAGTTAAAGTTATGGGTAACCAGAGCTAAACGAGGTCCCCCCTTCCACGGGGACCCCGTCCCCAGCTGCAGCTCACCCTCCCGCCTGACCCAGGACTCTCTCCATTGTGCTGCAGGAACGAGAAGCTGGTTTGGTCTGTTCGCTCTTTGGAGACCTTAGTCATTCGGATGGACCTGCAATCTCTTGCTGCTCCTGGGAAGACCAAGCGAGCACCACAGGCTGCCCAGAGACATCAAACACACACGTTAGCGCAGAAAAGTTGTTTGTGATCGCACATGTCAGCCTCTCTCCCCAAAGCCTGGCAGAGTTCCCGGTCATCCCTCTGTAAGGAGACACTGTTCTGCTGCTCAAAACCCTGAGATGGTGCCCAGGTAGGGGGGTGTAAATCTGCTTCAAGAAGCCCCTGAACACCGAGCACGTCAGTCCCACATTTTAAACTCCGCACCACCTCGTAAACCTGTCCCGGCCCCCGGCGATGACCACGCAGCCGCCGGCCAGAAACCTCCTCAGCATCACACCGGGCAAACGGCAACGCTGCACTTGCAACGGGTTATTGATGCCAATATCGTGGTGCAAGGCTTCAAAAAGAACCATCTCCTCTGCCATTGAGAGAGCACAGTAATTTTTCAGGAAAAGAGCCAAACCTAGCAAATGGAAATCCTTCCTCAAAACACTACTTCAGGAGAGAAAGCTCACTCCAAGACTGCCTCAACATCTTTAACAAATCCTGGTTGGGCAGAAATTAGCAATAAGACTCACACGGAGCTAAATTTTGCGGGACGTCATCTGAACAAATGATCTCTCTTGTAAAAATCAACAAAACCAACTCACTCAAGAGGAGGCAGATGCCACCTGAACCCACCTTGCCAGGCCACGCAGTCACAACCAGCAGTAACGAGGGAGCAGCCCTTGCGTCGGCTCACTGTAACGCAGAGCGGACGGGAGGGAAGGGCTGGTTTCCCTCTGCCAGCACCCTCACACGTACTCTCCCATCTTGCCCCAATAAATGAGTCTTTTATTATTTTTACGAGAGTATCTTCATTAGCACGTCTAATAGTCGTTGCCTCAGGGCACTGCGTATCCGTGAAACACCACCCTGTGCCAGGATCACTCACGTTTTTCACTTACAGTGCAGACATAATACAACGGGACACAAAAATTTCATCTGTCACTGAAAGTCCTGAAAAGCAGTAAGGGAAAATACTAAACTTGCTACTTTGTACATGAAAAAAACTTCTTGGCTATGCGATTAAAGGATCACAAAGACATCACTTTGCTCCTCAAAGACATCCCTCAATACTGTAACAGGGACTGCGACAGCCACGCGCAGAGGAAAACTCTTATCAGGACTAATTTGTACCATCTGCTCATTACTGTGCCTCTGACGTTGGGTTTTTTCCTGTCTACCATCACGTAAATGACACAAAATCACGATAAAACCAGGGTTTCCCATCCGTTCTCTATCATACATCGACTGCAGAATTTCTACCCGGGCACATCTCTCTGGCTTGTACAGGCACATGAAGAAATCAAAACTCAAACCCAAAATCAAATCCCAAACTTTTGGTGCCTTCAACAGCACATTCATACAGGGGGAAGCCCGGGAGAGCCCCATCCCTCACACAAGTAATCCGCCCCAGAACATCCTCCGACAGCGCCATCACAGCCGGCTCCTGAACACGCCACCGGAGATCTGCCTGCGGGAGATGGCATCTCCGGAACGCGGCTCTGCCCGCACCTACATCCCACTGCCAGGGGCTGCGGGGCTCAGCCCCTGCCCGCAGGTGGCCCGATCCTGCTCCAGCCCGCTTCGCACCTAGCGGTGCCGGACGGACACGGCACCAAGGATGCTTCTCCTGCAAGAAGGAAGGTCTCCTGCTCCCCAGCACCGTCCTGTGCCGCAGGGAACTCACAGTCACTTCCCCCCTCCTAAGTGCCGATGGAATTTCTCCCAGTTTTCTCCCCCTGCGCCCAGCGTTGGGAAATCTGACCGAGAGAGTCCCGGTGGGCACGACGTAACGGCACAGAAAGCGGGACCGCAAACATCCAACGGGATCGTGCAGCTCTGCGCTTGGCAACCCTCCTGCTTTAAAAGCCACCTTTCTCCAAACGAATACGCAGCACGTGGGTCCTCTCCCAACACAAGGGCCACCCATGTGGACCTTTGGTGGATCCAGTTCAGAACACGAGGCCCCTGATGCTCCTCTAAAGGTCAGCGGATTTAGGAGGTGGTTTTAAGGTTTAGACACTGTGTTTCTCAGTTTTGTTGGCAGAAACGATTTAATCCTTTTGGCTGAATTCCCAGCCACGCCAGCACCCCTTCCCGGCCTCGCACCAGCCCCCAGGCCCAGGAGCCAGCCCAAGCAGGCGTGCATCATGGAAAATTTCACATCAAAAGTCCAAAATTCAGCAAAGTTTAAATCACCAAAAATAGGGTTTTACAATGAGAAGTCTCAGCAACCTTAACTGCAGCAAAATCTACTATCTGCATCTGTAATTTATGAACTAAAACGGCCTTTTAAATTGGACATATAGACGGGGAAGAGGATGACACTGAGCCACAATAAA